CAGTTAGAATAATGTGCAAAATATGAATACTGTTGGCTAAACACTTCAACAAAGAGTCTGTTTTCAACGATGAATTCATTCACTTCATATAACGGTGAATTTAATTTAATGTAATCCCTATGATCATGACTGGAAGACGACAACTTAAATATTTGGCATACCGACTTCCGTGAGAAACAAAGCTTCTCCTGAGATGCACTTTAAACGTCCAATTAACATTTATCGACAACAAGATGGCATGGCTATAAGTTCACCTTTAAGTCTAGTACTTGCAGATATTTCCATGGAAAGTTTGGAAAATGATCGGTTACAGGATTTCATCATCAAATGACATTGGTTAGAGAACCACTGGAAAACCTGGGAGTACTGGACAGCTGTTTCGTCCTAGTTTGGGACTCTTCATCTGTACGCACCCATTGCCAGGGTTAGAACCCACGACCTTCTGGTTAAAAGGCAAGCTCGTATACCATTAAGCCACTGGGATCCAACTCAATGGCCAGTTCATGAATTCTAACTTCTGCCAATTCACGATATAGCGCAACCGCTAGCCAATGTCTTCGGCGAGTATTTGTCCTCACACTCGACCAGCTACACCCTACTGATAACGACTTCTCGCTAGAATCCCAGGTAACTAGCTACCTGAATAGGGATAGTCGCCAGTAATCATCTCATTGATATTGAATTATTGGTTTGTAGAATTGGCAGAAGTTAGAATTCATAGGCTATTGGATCGGGTCCCAGTGGCTTAATGATCTACGAGCTTGCCTTGTAACCAGAAGGTCCTGGTGGCGAAACCCTTTGGTGGGTGCGCACTAATGAAGAGTCCCAAACTAGGATGAGGTAGCTGTCCAGTACTCCAGTGCTGCTTTTCCAATGGGTCTCTAACTGGTGCCAGCTCATGATGAAATTCTGTAACCAGTTAACCAAATCCCTACAAACCAGTACTTGGAAACTGATCGATGATTGTAATCAACCATCGACAACTTATTTCTGCACATATGGCAAGTCGATGATTCTTTAATCATTTGTGATAACAGATACGTCCTAAATAACGTTCTGCCAGTTTTTAATAGTTGCCAGCCAGCCATAAAATTTACAAATGAAGTGGTAATTAGACAGAGCGACAGATAACCACCTTTCTGGACATTCCAATAACAAAAAAAGATTAATGGGAATTTGAACAGATCAGTATAAACAAAGCCTACGTGGAACGACCAGTTTATCAGACTTTTACATTTGGGCAGGCATTAATCGCAAGCGGAACTATATAATATCTCTTTCGACTTGAATCAGAAGAATATACAGGAGTTATTCAGTAGATGAAGAGATCCTACTTTTGAGGAAGGCACTACATGAGAGTGGCTGATCCTCCCTCCCCCACACCATGCTTTATAGATAAACACATAGAGCCTAAAACCAACAAGGAAGGTACTATACATAAATGTGGTATTCAAAGGTGACTATTTGACTCACCCCATAAGGAGAAGAATATCAAACGCCCTGAAAAGAACATCCTTAGCCACAACAACACGACTAGTACTCTCCTGTCTTCTAATGTTCTTCAACAACACTAAACTATCACATTTGACAACTATTCATGTCTACTAATTCACTTATTCGTGTGAAGCGAGATATATAGGTCACTAGATGCGTATTTTACCCAAAGGACTCAAAGGATATTATTCTGCACTTCGTTAGAAAAAGAATCACAGTGGATGCTATAAATGAAAATATATTTAACACTCATGACTTAATGTGTTAGGAATATTTAATGGAAGTTATCGACAAAGTTAAATGAAGCCTTCCGAAAACAGTAAGCTGATATTATAATTCTCAGTGTTGACATGTTGGCGATTCCGATGGGAAAACTGTGATTTATGTACACAAAAGAAACTTCTCTATCCCCTCCATCTACCATGGGTATAATTCTAATTCTAACTGCTATCAGTACTAATTGGTGGGTGGTGACTAGCAATGGAATCCAGTATGTACATTTCGTCCGATTTGAAGCTCGTCAGCCATTGGATGTACCTGCATTCCGCAGTGAGTGATTATGTTCCCACCAAGGCTCTAAGTGAGTGCTCATAGTTTCAAACGTCAGCTGAAGCGTTATCCACTAGAGTACTTGAACCCCGCCAGAGAACCATCACCTCTTGTGCAACGGGTCAAATTAATTAACCCAAGGTAATTCTTATTAATTCTTTAAAGATTGTGGAAAATACCCATCAGGACATTAGAAAGAAAAGAACACGAAGTTGAGCAAAGATATCTTTTCGGTGATTTCATTTTCACTAAAAGTGACATTCTCTAGCCGCCTAATACTTCTAACCAATGCAAAGGACAAACTCTCTCATTTGACCACTTCAGTGTAGATGTATCAGTTCACTTTCTTGTGTGAAGCTAGGTACATAGGTCGTTGTATGCGTGTCCTTTCCATACGTGTTAGAGAATATTACGTAGAGTGACTGCAAAGAGGAGGCACTAGTTCATTCAGAAACGCTATAACTGAATACCTTGTCCATATCTACCTGCCAGAGCATCTCAACTGACTCATCATTCAGAACCATTTACAAAGTAAACAGAAATCTACCGAAGGTAATGTTTTTCCGAACGTCTTTGTATTGCAGAAGCTCTCGCCATATACATCGAAAAGCCGGAGCAGTGTATTCAGAAGAAACTAGTCCAGCATTTACAAAAATACCATGAACCTAATTCAGTATGTTCATTTAGCCTTCAGTTTTTTTTTGTTTCGTTCGCTGTGTGTGTGTGATTTTCCTCTCTTTGTCTTCATTCAATTTATCGCACATTTTTCAGTTATTTTAAGTTTGTTTCTATGCTCTTCCTGCTCACATTTTTAATTCCTTTAAAACAAGTACTTTTACAATTATTTTCTAATCCGGTGTAATTTTTGTATCTCAGCCTCTTGTAATCTATGTCAAGTTGAAAATAATTCTTACCTTTTTATTCACCTTCGTAATTATGCGGAATCAAGTAAAAATTGTATCTACGCAGATTGATGTCATAAATAAAACAGAGATGATGAAGATTCCTGGCCAACAGCAACAGCAACAACAACATACAACAGTCAGCATAGTGGGAAAAATCTGAAAGAAGCACTCTCCTTTACTTACCGACCTGGGAAGCATCATTTCAACTGTAGGCGGACGGAACTGGTGAGGATATCAAGGCAAGCTTTCGTTTCTCTCAAGTCTGTGTGGAGGTCAACAGCACTCAGAATGAAAAATACGATGCGCATTTTCAACTCCAATGTGAAATCAGTGCTACTATACAGATTAGAGACTTGGTGCCGCGTCACGAAAGGCACTACGAACAAACTACAGAACTTCATCAATAGCTATCTTCGCTCAAGATCAGATGGCTGGCCAGAAAAGATCAGTAACAGGTATCTCTTAGAAAGGATCAATGCAACAGGAATCAATTGTGCACAACAGATATGCAGGAAGAAATGGAGGTGGATTGGTGGCCATACTGTGAGAAAACAAACCATCAAGTGAGTGAAATAACACGTCAGGCCATCGCTGTACTGGAACCCACCTGAATGGGAAGCGGTGAGTTAGTTGGTAGTCAATGCGAGGATGACATGGGGCAGGAGGAGAAGGAGGTCATGTGAAGAGGAGATGACAGCATATAGGCAGACATGGAACGAGGTGATGAAAACATTAGCAAAGAACCGAACGCAATGGAGATATGCGGCTGAGCTGAAGCCCTATGTTCTTCTAGGAATTATAGGAAATAATAATAATAATAATGTAAATTTATGCATTTAAATGTGATTGTACAGCTTTTTCGAAACTTAAATCGCTGAAAAGACAATTATCTTTACTGAACTCTGTGTCGTCTTCTTTCAAATGTTTATTCTGATTTCCATGTCTGATTGGGTATTTTATTTTGTGAACATTTAAGAGATTTTACGAGTTGATCACGGATTGATATCAGTTAGGGAACCATTGAAAACCAGGGAGTACTGGACAGCTGCTGTTTCATCCTAGTTTGGGAATCATCGGCAGTACGCACCCACTGGGTTTCGAACCCAGAACCTTCCGGTTACAAGACAAGCTAGCTCGTATACCATTCAGCCACTGGGACCCGATTCAATGGCTCGTGAATTCTAACTTCTACCAATTCGTGATTTAGCGCGACCCCAACCATTGTCGTTGGTGGGACATCCATCCACACACGTGACATCTAATTTAAGAGATTGATCACAATAAATAATAACGTCTACTCTGACACATGTAGCACTGTCACTAACACAGATACGTATATATATATGCATATTATAAACAGAACTGTGCTTTGCAAACTCTGTGATCATTATTATTATTATTATCATAGCAGGCAGTGTGAATAGGATGGGATATGAGCAAAATATTCAATTACTCAAAGAGTGTTCATATGCATATATACATAGTGAATGATTGATTAATGATTGCTTCAGTCTTGTTAAAAAGTAAATAAAGTAAAGAAATCAACGATCCGGTGCGTATCACATACACAATCACCCACATACATACAGCGATAGGAACACTTATTCGCTAAGGTGTAACCTCATTACAATTATGATATCATCAAACTTGAAGTAAGTATTAAAGACTACCAAAGTGTATAAATGACTGTCTATATGGATAGGTGACTAAAGTGATATACAATGTGTGTGTGTGTGTGTGGAAGAAGGAAGTCAATGGGACTTTCATATCATATGTACATATTGTTGATATAACAAATTAAACAGCCTGATAAAGTGAAATGAAGTGAAGCGAAGTAAAGTGGAGTAAAGTGAGACGAAATAGAATGACGTGAGTTAGGATTGGGTGGGGTGGAGTGGAGTGGAGTACAGTGGAGGAGAGTGAAGTGAAGTTAAATGGACTGGGGTGGAGTGGAGTAAAATCTTGTCCACATTAAAAAAGTAAACAAACAGCGTAAGCTCAATCAATGTACACCCCTTAGATTTTTTTTTGGCTTTGATACTATAAACTGACCATAATAAATATAAAAAATCCTGAATTTAAACGTTGATATCTGTTGAAAAGAACAAGTAAATATAACACTTAGATAAATCTTTATTCCTTTTTAAAGAAAATTCTTTAAAACCTATCCAAAACAAAATAGAATGAATCTTTAAGAGATACGGGAATGACACTGTACATAGTTATTCAACAAACTTTTCTCCTATCTTCAGATGCAGAATTCATTAGTTAACATTGTATAAACTCTGCTGAAATCCCTAGAAAAGTACAATTTCTCTACAGCCCCTTCAGTTGTCTACTACCGTTTATCCTGCTTAAAAGGTAGTTGAATGGTCTGCAAGCTGGCCTTGTAACAATCGAAACATCTTGAGTTTGAACCCCAAGTTCTGAAGAGCTCCAAACTAGGACGAAACAGGCATCCCGTATTCCGTAGTGGTTTTCCAGTGGTTGTCTAACTGATGTCAACTAGTAGTCAAGCTTGTAACCAGTCGAATCCTTGTAAACCAACACCTGATAATAAATCGGATAGGCACTAGCGACTGATACTATACAGAAAGTTACCTGGAGTCCTGGTCAAAAGCCATAATCAGTCAGGTTGACTAAGTCAGGTAAGAGACTGGCTGTCTTTTGCGCTAATGTTATGATTTGGATCTCATTGGCTCACCTTTTAACCGGAAGGTCCTAAGTTCGAGCCTTGTACTTCTGAAGAGTAAGATACTAAGACGAGACAGTTTCCCAGTACTCCCTGGTAATTTTCTAACAGTCCTACAATAAGTGATGTCAACTGGTGGTCAAAGTTATTACCAATGTATGATATTCTGTCGAAATCCTCTGTATAACTTCTTGAAATGACTACTCTATGACTACTTTTCATTGCTACAATGAGTATATTAATTTATATCATATTAATTATATTAATATTAATTTGTTTGTTGAAAATGTCATACTGGATGAAGAAGTTTCGAAGGGAATTTATTATTTCATCGGTGGATGGTGACTAGCAGAGAAAGAATGCAGGATTAGGCGCATTTCGTCCTATTTCGGACTCGTCAGCTGGATGTACCTTCATTTCCCAGCGAGTGATAATGTTCCCACTGAGGCTCGAACCCAGTACCCATAGTTTCAAACGCCAAAGCGTTATCCACTAGATATTTTAAACCCCAAAAGAGCCACCATCTCTTGTGCAACAGGTCATATTAATTTATTATTGTTCATAATCATATTATCGATTGTAACTACACAATTCTGGAACTTGATTTTCATTGTTCTCTTTCGTCTCTCCCATTTTATCTTAAGGATAGTAGAATTTTTCTTATGTCCACTCTCTGACATCAGATGGAGAATCACTGAAACCCAAGATGCACGTGAAATGAGCTCAATCCCTATAAATGTCAGTTTTACCTCTCCCTAGTAGTTACTGAATGAATGTTATAAAGTCAGAATAGGAAGTCAGAGTCAGTCCATTCCAGGATGTCAAGGTGAAGCAGATACCCATCAAGCGTATTGGTTGCCGATGGCGAGCATTGACAGAAGTTAGAATTCCCAGATCAGTGAATTTCAACTGAACTGCTGAATGGCTAGCAGGTTAGCCTTGTAAATTCAGTCTTTGGTGGAGTCATGAGCGCAGTCTACTGAAAAGTCGGGAGCTAGCACGAAATACTTAGTTGTTCAATACTTCCTTGTTTGGGTCCTCGGGATAGTAAAAACTAATAAAGGCTGGGGTGAATTGATGATGATATGGCTCAAAATCGTTCTCAGAGATGGCTGGAGCGGATGCATCCACTCCTTGTGACTTAAAATACCCAATAAAACTATATGGATCTTAGATATTACTTTTCTTTTAGCCTCATATCTCTGTTTACTGTCTCTATTTTGCGTGTCTTTTTAATCTCTTCTTTTGCTTTGTGTGGCATATGGAGGGAGTGTGGCGACTGGAACTGCTGCGCACATCAATGCAAAGTTCTACGTTGAAACCAGTCAGTCAGTACTCCAACATGGCTTTCAGTAGTTCCCTAACTGACATTTTAGTCTGTAAAAAAATTTGGCAATTAAAATTAGTTCAGATGCTTAGGTAAACCCGAAAAATTCCTGGTTTCTAATATTATTATTATTTATTATTGTGTCCTTTAATTCCTAGAGGAACATAGGGCTTCATCCGCGCGTCTCCATTGCCTTCTGCCAACTTTTTCACCCCGCTCCAAGTCTGCCCACATGCTTTCATCTCCTCTTCACATGACCTCCCCCTCCAAGTCACCCTTGCACTGACGACCATCTCGCCGCTTCCCTTTCGGGTTCCACTCGACTGATAGCTTGTCTAGTGATGTCATATCAAGCTCCCTGGTTTCTAGTGACTATTTAGACAGTAATATTAACTAGTTTTTAAATCTCTGAAACATATATGTGATTCTGTAAATGTCACCTCTTCCCTTTTTTCTTCACACTGACGCCTTGACTGGAATGGTTTAACCATAAGTTTTACGCAGGTCACCCTTATCGTGCACGGTTGATAAAATGATAGACCACATCTTGATAAGACAGCTTCTATACCAAAGAAAGCTGCTATCTTTATTAACCTACCACTCACGATTGATCTAATTATACAGCTGACAGCTGGCTCAGAGACTTCGGTTAGCCATCAAACGCACATTCTACGCCGCATCTCTTTGCCTCACATGCCTAACATTTTAGATCCCTGTACCTACAATTAAAGGACGAATTTTTGTGGACTCTACTTTAAACTGTATCTACATGTTCATCTGCAGTTGCGGTGACACTTGTATAGGTAGAACCAACAGAATGTTCCAATGTGGTCGTCAAAAAGAACATATTCCAAAATGGCTACTAAATCATATCGAAAATCCCAACGAGATTAATCTGAATAGAAATCCATCACCGTCATCATCCATTGCAAAGCACTTATTAATGTCACGTCACAAAATCAATATTAATGACTGTTTCACAATTGTTTCAAATAACTCTCATTCAAGGTTGGTTATTGAAGGTGATAGAAGCACTTTGGTGGATTAATCACATACAGCTTAAACTGTGTGTACAAAAAACAATAGATTTCAACCTTCGGCTACCATGATCTACTTGACCTACTTAAATATGATTGGTCATTAATACGTATTTTGTTTCATGTAACTCAGTAACTGTCATGCATCAAAATTTAAATTATTTCATTATTGTGAAGCATGCCATTTATAAAGTGATTGTAAAGAAACTATATAATAATGATATCATCTCAAGAAATCTGTCTTCTAAATACCTTAACCTGATTAAAAGAGTGTTTGAACTCATGCATTAATGCATAAAATACCATAGAAAACCAGGGAGTACTGGACAGATGTTTCCTTCTAGTTTGGGAATCATCGACTGCATGCACCCCCACCTGTCAGGGTTCGAACCCACGACCCTCCGATTACAAGACCAGTCACTGGTACTCGATATAGTGGAAGCGAGGGTGGATTTCCCACCGATGACACTGGTTGGTGCCAGTCACACTAAAATCACGAATTGGTAGAAGTAAGAATTCATGGACTGGCCATTGAGGAGTCAAGTCCCAGTGGGTGAATGGTATACGAGCTTGCTAGCTTTGTAACAGGATGGTCGTGGGTTTGAACCCCTAAAGTGGGTGCGTACTGCCAATGATCTCCAAAAGACTAGGATGAAACAGCTGTCCAGTACTCCGGTGCTGGTTTTCAATGGTTCTCTAACTGATATCACTCCTTGGTCGAACTCGTTAAAAGAAACGAATTTAATCCTTATAAAGCAACTCTTGAAAATAGGTAACATACTTTCTACCATACACAGACACAAGCACACACACACACACTGGTTGATTGATTCCTGTTAATCTGCATGAAAACAACCCTCCTCCCTAAGATCATATTGCAGTCTATAAGAAAAATCACATATATGATTGAAATGTATACTTGGTAAATATTCAACGATTGGTAAACCTGTGTCTCTAAGGTCTTCTATACATGTCTTGTATTGTTCTTTCTTTTAATCTTATGCTTTTCGTTTTTGTATGATCTAACTGTCGTGTATGAAACGCTTTTGATCGGTGAATTTCCTCAGGTACATTCGAATGTGATCAGAAAGAGTGAACTAATTACAAAACACAGTTTGTTAGCTAGGGGAGCCCCCCCCTAATAAATAAACATGCAGAACTGACTGACTGACTGACTAACCAACTGGTTACAATGTAGAACTTTGCACAGATGTGGAGCAGATCCAGTTGCCACACTCCCTCCATACACCACAGAAAGCAGGAGAAGCGAGTAAAGAGAGATTCAAAATAGACAGTGAGGGAAAAACAACAGTAATATGGAATATCAGTTAAGTTTATTGAGTGATATAACAAATCACAAAGAGTGAATGCATCTGCGCCAGCCATCACCAATGCTCTCCAGAAGTCATTGGTTTTACCATCCTAAGGACCGTAACCATTCAGGAAATCTGCACCTCCAAACGTGGCAGGCTGACTTAAACTAACTATTGTGGATTTCATTGACTGAAGAAGCCGTGTTTTAGTTTGCCCACCAATAGCTTTCTCTTTTTCAACCTGATCCATCCTATGTCTGTCAGCTAACATTACCCGTCGCTGAAGGAGGCTATGCCTAGGCACGCATGCGTAACACATGGCTCAACCCCCATATTCGATGCAGTTGCACAATCTCGTCGATTGATTTTCCCTTCTTATCGAACACTCAACTGACGCCCAACCTCACTATTACTCAGCTTGTTATAACACTTAACAAAGGAAATAAAACTCAGAGACCTATGATCAAAAACAGATAGCCAGCCTTTTCATGTCTTCCATTTTCAATGGCTGTGTCTTGCTTAGAAGCATAAAGGGGGACGGAGGGAACTGCTGAGTAGTACACACGCCCCTTGGTTGAGAGCCAGCTGGATATCATGTCTACTCCAGAGATAGCGTAGATTGTTAGACGTATGCCGAACAGGCCTTCTGTATCTGTGCTGAGAATTCGTCAGCGACCAACCTTCTGGCGGTAGCTGATGCAAATTCCCAAATTAGGGAAGTAG